TGCTTGTAGGCATTGTTTTTAGTCACCAGTATGAACTATGTAAAAACAATCTGCAGCTAACTTGCTTAATCGGGTATCAGGTATTATAATAGCTTCTGTTTAGTGCAGAGAATAATTTGGTGTTGGTTAATTTAACACTGATGCTACACTGATTTTTTTTTCCGGTTCATATTTTAACACAAATATTATCCTTTTTGTGAAAACCAGTGAAAATATGCGTGCACTTTGCGACATATTAAATCCCAGTAGGTTGAATAAGCTATCCTGATGATAAATTGGCCTAGTGTCACCATGTAGCTTATATTTTAGTAGAAATGCATGCAAGTTTTGCAGAATAAGGAATTCGTTTTCTGTAGAAAGGGCAGTAACTTGCAACGTGAATACATTTTAAATTAAAGTTCAATTAAAGCTTATGTTTGCATATAAAATTATACGCATTAACAGAATATTATGGCCCTGAAAGTTGTGCAGACGGTTTAGTGAACTCTGACAGTGTTTCCAAAAACCAACAGCATCATTTTCAGGCATGCAGGTGTTTGCCAGTGTTAGATTAGAACCTTGTAAGCCTCACTTTCCTGTTTGTTTACAGCATCCACATTGGGATATCAATTCTAAGATGACAGGAACAGCTGAACACAGAATACACCAAACGTTGCATATAGAAAGATTAGTGATCAGCAGTATGTTCGCCTCAAGTTTTAGATGAAAATACATATCTGCTGTTTTTTCTGTTTATACTCGGAAAAAAACAGGCTGCAGCACCCATTAGAGTACAAAGACGGCAGGTAGTATGCCGATTCAGTGATTGGCTGACAACAGCACAATAGCAGTTACCTCTGTAAATGGGCTCTGTTTCTTTCTCAGCTGTCTGTATGATCCACAGGTGAGCTGCAGCCATTAGGACTCAGGCAACAGCAGCAATGGCAGTTTTAACAAACGATGTTCCTCCAGCAGTCCAGCAGTAAAACACACAGCTCAGCAGGCCTCAAATAGACACCCAATCACCTACACCGTTTTGTGATATAAAGCACAACAAAACTCCAGTGTCTCCTGTAGGGTTAGTAACAAAACCTACACGAGTCTTTCAGATAAACACTGGAATGACTTGTGTGGAAACTGGTGAGTCCAAGTACAGACATGACGTGCTTAAATGTCTTCACATGAATGTAAAATTACATATTACTCAAATACGGTATTTAAATATAACTGTTTTTATGTATGTTTTTTATAAACGTTTTTTAAGTTTCTATGTAGAAAATATGGTGCATTTTGTATCTGTTCAAACTTGACTAGCTACAACATTAAACACAGTCGTTCTGTATTGGGTAAGGAGTCTGTCTTGCTTTCACTTTCCTGGGAGTATCCATTTAAGTGCTACTTTAGGAATTTTGGCATTCATGGCCTAGCCATCTAAAAGATCACTGTTTCATTTCATCAGCAATGCTAAAGCATTTTGTCTTTTCCAGCATGTTTTTGCCAGTGTTCTTGTTTCACCAATAGATTTTAAGGATTTTTATTTTATAGCTAGCTGTTTTGGAAGGATTCTAGTCTGTGGACATCAGTTTGTGTTATTCAGCGGCATTCTGAACCATACAGCAGAAGTGATTTTACATCACTGTTTAACATTCTTATCTTCATGTTGATGCTGTAATTACTGGATTCCCAGATGGGCTGAATTCTGGGATAAGCTGTGCAACTTTTGACAATCTTGATTGTATGTCTTTATTTCTTGCTGGCACTGTACATTTAAAGGTAGACTCACTCTTGGATGCACAACACATTATTTAATTTATTAGGATGTTGTTTCCATTTTAATTCAAGCAGGTCATGAGATCCATTCCACATGAACTGTATGTTGCAGTCATAGTGCATATCAGTGCGACAGCGGTTGCTTATGTAAATGTAAATAAATAGACACTCGCCTGTTATGAAAATTTATTTGTGATGATGTGTTAGCCCTGTGAAAGATTGGGCGTACCCTGCCTCTCAAACTATGGTAGCTGGGAAAGGCTCCAGCTACCATAGCTACCCCCCCACCCCACCCCACCAGACCCTGACAAGGACAAGCAGAAGAGAAGGGATGTATGGATGCATGGATTACATTTATACAGAATTTGGGAGGTAATTACCTAAGACCAAATGTACAGTTTTGATATGGTATAAATTATTTAAATGTTTCCATTTGATCCTGCTTATCTTTCACTTTGTGCCACTTTATATAAATAAAACATACTTATGTCTCTTCTGCATTCATCTGACAGCTGTAGTCACTTTTCATGTGATATGCTGTTATAGATGATACCGATGCTTTCAGCATTTTGGTCTTGTGATCACTTGAAAAACTCTCTTTAGTCTGAGTCTTTTGTGCCATTTAAGTTATTAGTTATTTGCAGCTACAGCAAACATTTTCGCTTTAGCTTGTTTGATTTAAAAAAACAATAAATAGAAATACATTCTTTTAAATGTATGTCAAAAAGCAGTTCAAAGCAATGAATAGAATCCTTATTTACCATGTCATAAAATGTAATCTTTGACTTGTGCCACTTTAGTAAAGCAAAGGGTTAAACTACAGATTAGTCAATAAAGTAGTAAAACCTAGAACCACCTTGGTTAAGCAGAACAGTAAAGCAGTCTACTTTTTATAGTTTTACTTTATTTTTTTACTTTGAAAGCAGGAATCCTACTTACTTGTAATTAAGTATTTTTGCAGTGGTAAGACTTTTTGCTAACAGAAGAAAAGGCAGCAAAGGAGGCTGAAGTGCCAAAGGAACAGGAAATTGCTGCACGTTGCTACTAAACTTTTAAAGCCACACAGTGGCAGAAGGTGCCTGTGATCCTTAAAGGCTAGCACAAGGATGTGAATTAGTTGTAAGACATTACTGGAAGCCAATAAAATGAGCAGAGGATATCTGTGACACTCCAGGAAGTTAATGTCATGGATTCTGTTCTACAGGCTGGAGAGAAGACTGGCGAATATAAGAGCTGTACTCTTTTAGTCAGGAGATGTAAAAAGGCCTGAGTGTGAGCCGAGCTGAATCCCTGAAGAGTCGCTGTTGTGTGCCTGCTGTCTGTCCCAGCCTGGGCTCTGATGGTTGCTCTATTTCAACAACAGTTCTTCCACACAGAGTCCTAATGCGCCTGGGACAACTTCACCAAGATAAGTAAGATAAGCTCTGACATGAGCATATTTCCAGAGTTCAAACTAACTGCCGTATATCTTGACATTATTGAGCTCGAATTATATCCCGCCCGCCTCCCACACTTTGCAACACTTCCACTTCAAAGTGTATGTGAGAGTGTGAGAGAGACCGACTGAGATAGAGGGAGAGAGATTAAAGATTGTAAAGACGGAGTATGTGAAATACACAGGAGTTGTATGTAGTTTGATTTGGTTTGAAACTTGGAGCATTTGCCTGACTATTGATGTTAGGAGATCTAGATGCTTTTCTCATCTGGGTTTGTGTGTATCTATAATGATTCACCTGCATTTGTCAACAGCATGCAGTACATTGATATCAAACGCAGAATTTTAATGATTTCACACAAAGTTGTTGCTTATAATTATACTAGAAGATGAGATTCATTCCAGCCAAAAAAATTGCCAAAGAGGTGCTTTTGTTTGCATGCACCTCACGTTTTAATTCCAGCTGGTTCAATATAAGATTTTTCTAACAACTACACGGATATCTGCAGTGAAAAAAAGATAAAAGCAGCAAAGCGATTATGTTTCCTCCATCACATTGCACAGCCCTCTATAATGCCTCAACTGCATGATGTTAAATGAGTTTTGCTTTTAGAGCAAATTAAATGATAACAGATGAGGCAAGGGTTGGCAGACAGGAGTGCATTAGTTTACACTGAGGAACCACTGTATAGAGTTTGGCATTGGGCCGGTGGAGACACACTGTACTGAACTGTTACAGTAACATTATAGCAATAGTGCCTGACAGGCTTATACTCAGGAGCACAATTACACACACATACACACACACACACACACACACAGCTGCGTTCACAGGTGGCTTGTTATAATGTAATGATAAGCCCAAGACCTGACACAAGTTAGCTTTGCCTCTCATGAGTTTTTTGACATGATCTAGATGTAGACATACATGCTGACATACATGCTCACAGGTACACAAAACACAGTATATGACAGAACACACACACACACACACACACACACACACACACACACACACACACACACACACACACACACACACACACACATGCAAGCAGTTATGTTTGTGCTTTGTGGCAGGCTTTCAGTTTTAAATGTAACAAATTGATGTTGATTTTGGCTTAGTTTAATGCTGGGTGTACACACTAGTGTGTTTGTGTGTGTTTGTGTGTAAGAGAGTCGGGGAAAGGCTAAGTGGAGCACGCATCGCTAACATCAGATAGTTCATGTAGCATAAATTTAAGCAACAACTTTTTGAACTTCGTTGTTGTTTTCAGATTTTTACCTGATGGCCTCTCTGATGAGATGAGGGTCAAGGAAAGTAAGGGCTCATTTGTAAAATCCCAGTTACAGCAGTGTGCGTGCGCGCGTGCCAGGCCCGGGACCACCTAAGAGGGAAGGCGGTAGGCGCCCTGAGATCAGCGCAGAGACAACTGGCAGCAGACTTTGAATCTGATCATATTCCGATTCGCATTGACAAAAGCAGCGGCGGCGGCGGCGGGGGGGTCAAAGGAGGACCTGCATCTTTATTGTGTCATCAAAATTACCAGTGACAGTTTGCATCCGCGGCCCGGAGCAGAGCAGAATACAGAATACCAGTTAATCTTATTGACATTCCCAATAACCTCTTTGTGTTTTTTTCCTGTGTCGACACTATTAATAGCCCCCAAGATTTCTCTTTCTCCAACGCGCATTCCACTGCGTAAAAATAGAAATACAGTTGTCCATAACTGGCACCCATTGACACAATAGCTCCCGTTCCATAGACGTAGCTCCTCCCTATGCATGTGTGAGAGAGAGTGTGTGTGTAGCGGGTGGGTGACAGCTGGGCTTGCTGCGCTCCGCTTCAGTCTGGTAAGAAGCTTCATCTCCAAATAGGATGACCGTCGGCTTTTGTGGAAGGGACTGCGTTCAGCTCCGTAGCTAGTTCTGGGACACCCGGTTGTTTGTGCTCGTACAGTTTACCTGAGGGAAGTTTACGAGGCAAAGCGTCCTTTTTTGTCACTAGTGTGGATTTCCGATGGATATTCCGATTTGAGTGGTGTGATTTGAGCGCGGCATGTAACAAAAAGAAGCGCATGAGAAAAGTAGCGCTCGTATTGTTATCCTAAAGCGAGCACCATCTGAACTGCTTTGAGGGACACATCTCATGGATTACTAAAAGGCAGAGCTGTGTAACCACTCCGAGGGATATCCATTCATGAGCTGAAGGTGAGATTTCTTTGTTTACGTCTAACTTCATGCGCTCATAGCCCGTACCAGCCTTTCTCAAACCCCGGAGGCTTGTTTTCTGTGCAGCCAGGCTACCGGGCGACAAGTGCACCAGCTTCGCGCGGTAACCGTATCAACTTAGTGTGTTTTCGCGTATTTACAAAAGCATTTTTATTAAATGTGTGAATCAGAAGGTGCACATTTTAGATTCATATGAGAACTGTGATCCTTTTCCGCAAGAAAAATACCATCTGGTGATTTAAACAGATCATAATTTCGTGCGTAATCCCTCCTATGCTGTTTGTTCATATAGTAGAAAGAAGTGTAAGTCTCTGAAGACCTATTTTGGATCAAGCTAGTGCGTCTAAACACGAGAAAAAACAATACCAGTGTATAATTTCAAAATATGAAAATAAGGAGGGGAAACGTGTTTGTAGGAACTTGCTGGAGTGGACCGACTAGTCCTCCCGCCCCTATGACTTCACAGTGCTTACTTTCAAACTACAGCCATTAAAAACACTTATTAAAATATTAATGTTAATGTTATGAAAACGCATAATACTCGAATCCTCGCTTCATTATTACAGTGCATGACGGGATTTTCATTTGCAATTTATTTCCACATTACGTGGAGTAAATGTATCTGTATGTAAAGCAGATATTCATAGGGTGGACTAATTTTGTTAACAATCTTTCTACTTCACAGTATTTCTACAAAACTCTTGATTGAATCACAGGGATGTGATGTGAATTAATCATTTTACATTCATGTTTTTATTGCGAAGTGAGCAACTCTGCGGGCTGAGACTTTCTTCCTCTCTCTCGCTTTCTGCGTGTGTTTCATACACACAGAGGGACAGGCACACTGGTTAGGGCGTGTTCAGCCACCAGGTGATGGAGTGGTCACTGTTACTCTTTTCCAAAAGATCAGTCAAATGTTTCTAATATTGACCAGGGGCGCAGGTTGAGAAGGGGATTTTCCAGTAGATGAAGTGCTTCTGCACATTATTTCTATTTATTTATCAAGCCTGGAGGAGAGATAGAGGCCTCACAAACCACATCCAACACAAGTGCCAACACCCAGTTACTCTGTGATTGCCCCTCTCTTCCCTTCTCCTCTCCTCTCCTCTCCTCGATTTCCCCAGAGGCACTGGGAATAGCTGGAAAAGGGATTTTCAAACTCTGAATGTAGGTTATAGATTAGAAAGTGTGCAAGTGAGCTGATAGAAATGGGTGAATCCAAGCACTTTTGAATGCAGACCGCAAAATATGCATCATGTCAACTGTTTTCCAGATGCACCACATGGTGTATCAGCCTTTTTTTTTCCTAAGTGGAAAAAGAAAACACAACTTTACACCAGCTCTGAGAGGAAAGGGTGTTGTAGTTCATGTTTCCCCTGAAATGCCTGGAAATATTTGGGGCTCCTCTGTGTTTTTTCACGTGTGACCTTATGTTTTTTTGCTGTCAGCATACACACTGTGCTGGGTATTACACACAGATCTTAAATGGGGAAAGAGCAAAAATGTTTTAACATGTTACCTCTTCTCCTCCTACAACATTAGCCTGGAGGCATTGAAAAATCCTGGAGGCATTTTTTCTTTTCTTAAGATGTTGCACAGCCCGCAAGTCCCACCATATTGCCTCACGCAGCATACAGCACCACCAATAAGAGTGCTAATCCTACTATTAGCACTTTATATTTTGACATGTTGGTTGTGCTGACACATGAATTACAGCATGATTACCTTAGTGACAACAGTCTGCCTGTTGTCCTCCTGAAAAAAAAAAAAAACAGAATAAAGCAGGGCGACCAGAGTTGCTGCTTGTATTTGGAGCAATGCTCTGTGGAGCGTTTGATCCGCCGATCCCCTAACAATAGCAACGGGGATGGCATTGTGTGTGACTGATGTGCATTTGTCACACTGTATGTGTGCGCGCGTGAGTGTGTGAGACAGAGAGAGGAAGAGAGAAGCAGAAATAGAAAGAGCGAGACAGAGTTTGTATTTACCTTTGCCAGTTAAGGACAGATGCAGATGTTGCTTTAATACAGTGGGTCTGAATAATTGATAAAGAGCTTTGCTTCTGTTCAAATGAATTGGCCTTCTATTATAAAGAGCCACAACAGTCAGCCACAGTTAACTGCTGGTCCTCATTCAGTCAGTGTCAATAGTCTGCATTCAATAGTGTGCGTATTTATGCATATTTAATAAAAGCCATGTTTTATTGATGCACATCCTTGGTGTGTGGGCTTTTTTTTTTTTTTTTTTTTTTAGAAACAATTAGACTACAAGAAAGCATCAAACGCATCTTAGTCATCTGAATGTGATTTATTGATGCTTACCCCATTTTCAGTTTCCACGTCTTTCTAAATTACCGCCGCCTCAGTTGCACTGCCGTAACACTAAATAACAAACCTCTAGTAGCAGAACAAAGCCGGAGAAAGAGCATAATCCCGGCTTTGTGGATGCGCTTTTAACACATTTTGTTTTAGAAACGCGGGTCAGCTCAATCAAAGAAGCTTGGGTTTGAACTTTTGCATCACAGATGTTATGGCACAGTGTCTGTTTTTGGCTGGCTCTCTTTTCAGATTCAGTGGGAGTCTGCTGTGATTCAGAAGGTAAAAAAACAAGCAGGAAGATATCCTAACCTGCTACAACAAATTATACAACTGCTCTATATAAACATTATTTTGTACTTAACCTTCTGCTGCTCCGTCTCACTTTTTTTGTTGGCAATGAGTTCTGTGATTATTTGATAACTACATCATTTTATCTGAAAATAAAAATGTTGACAGAGATATAAAAGATATTAGACCTATGCTGAGATTTGCATCCACCCTTTTGTTTAACTTATGTTTGTGATTTCCTTAAGAAAAAAAAGTTTATTTACTCATTATACACCATACAGCCTTCTTTTACTGGAACATGTTGCTCGTTGTTTATATGAGATGATAAATGGTATTCACTGTACTACAGGCACTTGATATATATCAGTGCTGTAGAGTCCT